CCGGAAGTGGCGCTGTGGCTCAAGTGGTAGAGTGCTAGCCTTGAGCTGAAGAGCTGAGGGACAGCGCCCAGGCCCAGAGTTCAGGCCCCACGACTGGATCCCCCCCGCAAAAAAAAAGAAAAAAGAAAAAGAGCAGAACAAAAATTAGATTCTAAACGTAATAAACAGGTAAATCTAAATTGAACCAACCAGTTATTCTGCCTACATCATGTTCAATAAGAAGATTTTGATTTTGTCTGAACCAATGGGAAGTTCTGGTGTCTTAGGACCCAAAGCTAGGCACAGAGGTGAAGGCAGGAACTCACCTGGGTATCAGTGGGTCTTGTTGCAGCATTGCAGTCATTATCATCCACCACCGACATGTAAGCCCCAAGGATGCACTTTACCGCCCTGCGCTGGTATCCCTGGCCACAGGTGACACTGCACTGGGGGAAGAAAAGGAGACAAGTTCAGCAAGTCTTCTTTTTCCTTTTCCCTGCCCCTCCCCTTCCCCCATCTCTTTCTATCATATATATCCAGAAGGTAGACATCCAAAGAGATAAGGAAAAAGTGGAAAATCCTGAATTAAACTGACTTCTTATCATATGATTATTATAAAATACTTGTAATTATTTCTGCCTCCTATTTCTGCTTTCCTGACTGCTATCTCCAGGGAGGAAGGGAGCATGTGGTCATGGTTTGTACACCTCTCACACTGCTTAGCAGAATGCATGTCTGGAACAGGTACTCAGTGGAGTCCTGTAATTTTGACCTTAGTTGACTGATTAAAAAACACATCATTTTCAGGGATGCTTAGTTTTCCTCAAAATTATGTATTAAAACCAGCAAGATTCCAGGAACCACCTATGTATGTGATAACCAAAAAGCTGGCTAAATATAGCACAAAGTATAGCTAATAAAGGAAACAATGTAGCTACTAAAAGGCACACTGTTGAATATTTAAAAGCACTAGAAGACAAAGTATGTTGGAAGAGTAATGTCATAGAAATGCAGAGTAAGAACCTGTAAGAATTATTCCCTCCACTGAAACAACCAGAAAACTGGCAAAACTGACAGAATCAACTTCTTTGGAACTTTGGAGCCTGATTAAAAAAATTACAGCAATCAGATGGTACTTAATGAAGAAGGATGCTGTTAATCTTGGTAGCAAAGAGCCATGGTGTTTCTGGCTTTTCCATCTATCAAACTGACCACTTCTCTCACTACACAGAGGACAATTTCCAAGTAACTCTCAATATAGCTACGTAGAAAGTACCACAAGGACTTCTCTGACCATCATGAAACAAGGCTCAGCATTAGCTATAGAAGCAAAACTGGAGAGTTCACAAATAAGAGGAAAACTAATATATTCTGAAACAACCAAGAGGTCAGGAAGAAATCACAAGCAATGGCAGAAAATCCTATGAGGAAAAAAAATCATGAGATGCAGTGAAATGTGTATGTAATGGCTATAAAAAAGATGATCTCAAATCAATTACCTAACTTTATATCTTAAAGAATTAAGAGGAAGAATAAACTAAACCCAGAATCAGAAGAAAGAGAGAAAAAAAAGATTAGACGAGAGAAAGGAAATAGATGAAACCAACAGAGAGGGGGCTGGAGTATAACGCAGTGGTAGGACATGACGTCTTGGATTCAATGTATTAAAGTACATTATGTAAAATTTCTTTCATGAACATTTATGACTTCAATCATATTTTAAAAACTACTTAGTTCTTTCAGTTATGTGATTAGTCAAAGGAAGAACAAATCTCCTGTGATAAGATGCACTCAGAATGGCCTGATATGAACATGGATTTTTAGAAAAACAAATAGTCCTGTCAGCTTTAATAGATATATTCCAAACTTGACAGTGACCTGAAGTGTGTTCTCATCCTCTTATTCCCTACATACATGCAGATGTGGCAAAAGGAGTGTATTTAGAAGTGTGACTGGAATCTTCCCTGTTTATGCAGATCCGATTAGCTATTATGTTACTGAATGCTATGAGATGGGAAAATAACATGGAGCACAGAGACTGTAAGGGGGTAGTAACACAGCTCCTCCTACTTTGCGATGCAAGTTTGGAAATGAAGACAGAGGCTACAGGACAGAAGTGGCCTTGGATGGAGCGGGTGAAGGGAGAGTCATTCTGCAAGAGATTACATAAATGACAGCAAACAGCTGCTTGACTTCTTTTAGGAACAGGGAGTGCTGCTTAAGTACGAGGCAGAGCTCTCTTGCATCTATATTAGGAAGGGCTGCATTCCGAGAGTAAACGCAAGTCAGAGGGAGACACTCTCTCTTTTAGGAATGGTTTGAGTGAAGATCATGAAACCTCGGAAAGGATTCCTTCCAAGCTTGATCATTCTGTACCCTTCGATCTAATTAATTACGTTGGAACACTCTGATTTATGAGAGGCGAGCGTTGCATATATACTGTCAGGAACCAAAATATCCTTCTAGATTCCAATCCAGACTCTCTTGCTTAAAGGCACTGGCTTTCTGTAGCAGATCAGCAGAGGTCCAGGAAGAGATAACATCAGCCAGACGCCACTTCTGTTGCACTTTTGTTTAAATGCTCGTGTGCTATTGAAACCATGCGGGGAAACACGCACGTGGGTTTGTAGCTTGGGCGGTCAGCTCCAGCAGGGAAGAGACAGGAAAGCCTCAGAGCCATGCATGCTTGACCTGTCTCCCCCCCCACCAAGGTGCTGTACCTGCCACACATACACCCCACCCAGCCTGTTAAAGAAGCCAGCCACTGGAATGTCCCTCTGTAAGCCCTCTCCAGATAAGGAAGGAAAAATGCAGTTAAGAATCTAATCGTTTTCCAAATACCTGTCCCCAGGAACCCGCCTGCCAGGATGCACATTCCGGTTGCTGACAGGTCTGCATAGAGACGGGCTTGGCCGCGGCGTCACACATTCTGTCGTTCAATCGATCCTCGCCAAAGTGACACCAGACCTGGCGGTGCTTATGGCCTTTCCCACAAGTCACCAAGCACTGGAATGAAAAAGCAGAGCCAGTCAAGGTCATCTCTGATCAATGGGATGTGGGTTACTCATGGATTAGGATTAACAGATGTGTGCTTTTTACACACACACACACACACACACACACACACACACACTTCTCTAACAACACTCCAAGAGTCACTTCTCTCTTTTTTCTGTTTCATTCTTTCTGCTTCTATCTTCTCTCTTTCACCCTCTGTGTACCTCTAGTCTCTGAGCCAGTTTCAAATACAGAATGAATTCAACAAATCATCAAAATTCTAAAACATCAAAAAAAAAAACCCCACAAAACAACAATCTTGATTTTTCTAACATAGGAGTGGAGCAGGGGAATTATGAGTCAGACCAACCTGGATTTTAACTCCTACACAAACAACTCAGAGAGCCTCTGTGGGTCTCAATTTCCTCAGACTATTGACTGCAAAGGGTTGTGAAATTTAAATGGAAAAAAAAAGACGCAATACAGTGTTTAACACAATTTTCCTTAAAAAGAAAAGGTTCACTGAAATCATCATTACTATTCTCCCTCATTTTAGAAGATTGAAGAAACAGAGAACAGACATTAAAGGTAATATTATAATAATCCCAAATCTCAACTACCCAAGGGTTCTCATTATCAACGCTTTATTGCTTTCTTTCTGGTCTTTTTACCTAAGGAATTGTGAGTCATAATGAACTTACAGTTTGATTTCCCGTTTTATCAAGTATTGCTATAGAAGTTTATGATTCAATCCAAAATGATCTTTAGTTAGTATCAATGATCTAAGTAAAATTTAAATGTATTACCTTCTTTCATCTTTTCTTTCGTCAATCAAATACTGAAAGTTTATCTGGACCTAAAGCTCTGGGATGACTTGTCAATATGACCAGAAAAGAGTCACTGCCAATCATATACTGTTACTTGTCCACTATTTCCTCAGTGCTAACCGAATCCCTCAGATTTATCTGATAGTGAAAACACACACACACACACACACAGAGTTAACACTGTAACTATGGATGGGAGAAGGGGGTACTAAAAGACTCAGTTTCCCCACACTCCCAACCTGACCAGTTAACATGGAGCTTCTGATCACTTTGTGTTCACCTCACCATCCCTGAAGGCGGTGGAAGAAAACACCTTCTTGATGAGAATCTCATCAGGCTGAATAGCACTGAGGCATATTAACAGCGAGTGTGAATACTACTATACTGTAAGACCAAGAAAGAGGTTGTGTACTTCTTTCTTTTGCTGCCTAGGGCCACAAGGAATAAAGGAGTTGTCTTGTGCTTCATAAAGTAAGGGGTGATGAAAGGCATAGATGTGGAATATTCTGTTTGCCTCAGTCTTTTTTCTTTAGCCTCATTTTCCTCCAGCAACTGGATGTGTTAGACAGGGGGACACTTGCTGGGGTCTGATTCTCTTACTTCAAAGACACAGAAGTGGGACACAGCTTGTTAGATGCCCTTAGGATTACTAAATCTCCAATTTCCACTCAGGAACTTAGTTATGGCTCAAAGAATAGGGAAAGCAAGGAACAGCCTTCCAAGTCCCCAGTGATTAAGCTAATCCCATGGTGACTCTGAGGTCACCGGTGAAATTGTTACCTCCAGTACTATAGTCATGATGTGCGTGGGGAGCTAACACTGTTGCTTCTTTAAGGGAGAAGGGAGAATGTGCAGCAGGCCTAGCTTTCAATAGGCCAGGGGAGACCCAGCATCAGGGGTTCTGAGATGATCTAAGTGAACCTCCCCTCTCACCTCTGACCAGTCTCCCGATTTCCACTGTGGACACGCAAACTCATTGCATCTCTGCACAGTGACTTTCTCTTGATGTATGCATTTGCTGTCATCCAGGACATCATTTCGAGTGTTGACACAAATAGCCCTCCTTCTCTGGCTTCCGCCATCACAGCTCTTAGAACACTATGTGAACAAAAAAAAAAGAAGTAAAACTTTTGCTGAGTTTCCCATAAGGCATGCACATGATATGGGCTATGCTGTTTCTTCTGACTCTAAACAAACCATCAACTTTGGTCAGTGCTCTCCCCAGTTTTCATTTTGAAGAAATCTTCTCATGCAATCTGTTTATCAGATTCATGTCAATATTAACTTACTGGTGTAGGAAAAGAAAATTGAAAATGGCCTGTAGGGGATAGAAAAGCGATTGGTTGTTGATTTTACCACTCACAATTTTCCACATGCCATACCCATGTCAGACATTACAAGTCAATCAGGGAATTCTTTCCTACTAAGTTTGAATGGGGTCAGACATCATAAATCAATCAGGACTTTCTTTGCTGTGCAGCTTAAATGAGGTTTTGTAATATAACTCTGGGAAGAACTACCACCAACACATCATACTTAGTGTCTAAGAAGATTCCATTGGAGTAAGAACCAACTTACTTCAGTCCAAGCAGAATAGCGCCAGCCACCTGTGTTACACTCTCCTGAGCATTTTTCCCGGTTGCTTGGTTTGGGTTGATTACTGCAAAAACTATCATCAACCTTCTCGGTCTTTCCATCTAGCCTACTGTATTTGGCACAGTAGATGTCTACAGTACGATAACCCAAACCACACTGGGCACTGCATTCACTCCTGCTGGCAGCATGCCACCTGTCAATACATAATGAGGAGAACTTACACACACACACACACACACACACACAAAACCTATTTATCCAACTAGTACACGAATGGAGTTCCTTTCTTCTAAATTCAAATACCAAGAAGCTCAAAGCCAAACACAGTTACTAAAACCCAGTTTTACAGCAAAATATCCATATATTTTTCATGCCTTCCAATTTATATGGCTGTTCCAGAATGACTGCCACTGGTGCTAACTTTGTGATGATTCTTGCCTGATAAACTTAGTCTGAAATTCAACTAACTGAAAAGGCAGGGGGAGGGAGGATCCAACAGAGGGAAAAAAATGGTTTTTTAAAAGCTCAAGCTCATTGATAGAGGGACACATAATTGGGACTGCATTTGTGAAGTTGTTTGTTTGGTTTTTGGTCTTAGGGCTTAAAGGCCTGGGCACTGTCCCTGAGCAATTTTGCTCAAAGCTAGCACTGCTCTACCACTTTGCTTTTTTTTTTTTTTTTTTGTGTTTTTGGT